CAGCCACCAAATGGTCACCACAGGCAACCAACGGCCAACATGGATGACCAACGGCCACCCAAAGGCCACCACAGGCAACCAATGGCCACCTAATGGCCACCATGGGCAACCAAGAGCCATCCAACAGCTAGAGCAGCCACCCAACAGCCACTGCGGGTCACCCAACAACCACCCCGTGGCAACCAACAACCACCGCTGGCCACCCAACGGCCACCATGGGCAACCAGCCACCACCCAAGTCACTGTTGGCAACCAACAGGCAGCCAATGGCCACCACGGGCAATCAGCAGCCACTACGAGCAACCAAGAGCCACCGCAGGCACCCAATAGCCACCCAACAACCACTGCAAACAGTCAAAAGCCACCATAGGCACCCAGTGGCCACCCAATGGTCACCACAGGCAATGAACGGGCACCTAATGGCCACCACAACCACCCAACAGATGACCACAGGGCACCATGGGCACCCAACGAGCACCTAGTGGCCACTATAGGCAACCACTGGCCGCTCACTGGCCACCACAGGTGACCACCGGCCACCCAGTGACCACCATGGGCACTCACTGGCCAACTGCCCACTGGCCATGTGCTGCAGCACTACAATAGCAAGACAAAATGGCTGTCAAGGGTGATGGTGGCCACCCAAGGGAGCTTGGTAGCCCAGTGGGGCTTGGGGATGTGGTGCTGGGCACCCTTGGGTGCCCCAAGAGTTAGTAGCCCCTCAGCAAAGGCTGCTAGCCCAATGAATAACCACGCTGGAAGGGGACTGCACGTGGGGATGCCCAATGGGTGGTGGCCAACCAGGGGGATTTGGTAGCCCAGGAGTGACCAGGCTCAGCAATGACAAGAAACTGGGCACCCTTGGGTGCTCCTGGTGGGGGGGTCACCCGGGGGTTTGGTGGCCCAGGGGATGGGGACACACAGTGGGTGGTGGCCACCCAGGGGTTTTGGTAGCCCAAGCATGGCATATTGCGGGGTGCCAGGCACCTTTGGGTGGTGGCCATCTAAGGGGGTTTGGTAGCCTGCGGTGATTGGGTCCGTGATGTTGTGCACCCATGGGTGCCACAGGGAGGGTGGTAACCACCCGAGGTGGTTTGGTAGCCCAGCGGTTGCCACGTTACGACAAAACAGCACGCTAAGCACCTCTGGGTGTTCTAAGGAGTGGTGGCCACATAGACAGACTTGATAGCCAACAGGCAGTTAAGGATGTGCTGTTCGGCACCTGTGGGTGCCCTGGAGCTGGTGGCCATCGAGGGGAATCTGTAGCCCCAGAGTGGCTGGACAGGGTGCTAAGCACCCTTGGGTGCCCTGGGGGTTGGAGATCACCAAGAAGAACTGGTGGCCGCTCAGAAACGTTGGTGGCCCAAAGGTAGCTAGATACACACTGCCGAGCACCCATGGGTGCCCAGGGGGTGGTGGCCACCTGGTGGGGGTCAGTAGCCCTGGAGGCGGTGGGAGGGGTGTCAGGCACATGCTGCCCAGCACCCATGGGTGCTCTGGGGGTGGTGGCCACCCAGTAGCTCCGCATCCAAAAAAAACCATCCAAGAACCCTAGTGAGACCCCAAAACCACGTGATGACCTGTGGCAGGCGCTCGGGGGGGGTGGTGGCACCCATGGGTGGGGGGATGGCACCCATGGGTGGGGGGGGGGGGTCCTCACCTTCTCCACGTTGCTCCAGAACTGCTTGACCTCCTTGGCAATGGCAGCGGCCACCCGGCGTAGCTTGGCCTGCTCCTCCCGCTTGGCCCGCTCCTCCTTCTGCCGCTGCTCCTCGTGGTGCCGCATCACCATCCGCACCACCTGGGTGGGGGGCACCCATGAGGGGATCCTCCCAAACTCCCAGAGTAGGGGAGGGGACTCTCGGGTGGCTGCTATAGGGTTGAGCCCGCCCTGAAGTTCTTCCAAACTCATCGGAGATGCCACCAGAGGTTCGCCAAGGCGTTGAACCTCTCCCAAAACTCCTCCAAACCCCTCAGAGATGCCACCAGAGGTTCTCCAGTAGGTACTATGGCGTTGAACCTCTCCCGACGTTCTTCCAAACCCCTCAGAGATGCCACCAGAGGTTCGCCAAGGCGTTGAACCTCTCCCAAAACTCCTCCAAACCCCTCAGAAATGCCACCAGAGGTTCTCCAGTAGGTACTATGGCGTTGAACCTCTCCCGACGTTCTTCCAAACCCCTCGGAGATGCCCCCAGAGGCTCTCCAAGGGGTTGAACCTCCTCCAAACCTCTTGAAGATGCAACCAGAGGTTCTCCAGTGGCTACTATGGGGTTGAATCTCGTCCATTGGCTGAGCCCCTTCCCATCCCCATGGGCGGGAAGCCCACCTTGCGGGCGACACCCCTCTTCCAGCGCCGTTCCTGGGCAAAGTCGGCGGCCAACCACTGCATCTCCTCGCAGAGATAATCCCAGTGGACCTTGGGACGGGCCGGCTCCGGGACCTTAGGCAGACGCCGCAACGACCAGAAGCCTTCACGCTTCATCTCCGCCACCCGGTGCTCCACCTCCGCCTCCTGCGTGGCACAGCAGGGGTTAACTGCGCCCCCAACCCCCCCCCCCACCCAACAACCCTCCTCAAAACCCCCATGTGGGATCAGAGATTCTCCAGGGGCTTATATAGGGTTGGGTTATGCCTGATCGCCCCCCCCAACGTGTCCTATAGGAGGCCAAAGATTCTCTGGTGGCCGATATAGGGTTGGTTCGGGCCAAATCACCCCCAGAAAGACCCTAAATCCCCCCAAAAAACTGTTCTATAAAAGGACACAGATTCTCTGGTGGCCAGTATAGGGTTGGGTCAGCCCAAATCACCCCCCAAAACACCCTAAATCCCCCCAAAAATCTGTTCTGTAAAAGGATTTTCTGGTGGCCGATATAAAGTTGGGTCGGCCCAAATTACCCCCAAAACCTCACTAAATCCCCCCAAAAATCTCTTCTGCAAAAGGATTTTCTGGTGGCCGATATAAAGTTGGGTCGGCCCAAATTACCCCCAAAAAACCCTAAGTCCCCCCCCAAAACTCTTCTGTAAAAGAACACAGATTCTCCGGTGGCTGATAAAAGGTTGGACCAGTCCCAATCGCCCCCTAAACCTCCCCCAAAATGTGTCCCATGTGAGCTCAGAGATTCTCCATTGGCTGCTATAGGGTTGGGGCAGCCCTAAGGTCCCCAAAATGCCCCTAAATACCCCAAAATGCTTGTCCCATAAAATAGCAAAGATTTTGCAACACCTAATGTGCAATCGGGCCAGCCACAAGTGACTTCCAAAACCACGCTAACGCCTCCCAAAAACGCCCTAAACTCCCCCCAAATGAGACCAGAGATTCTCAAGTGGCTCTTATAGGGTTGAGCTGCCCCCCCAAACGAGACCAG